TTCTGAACTCGTTGAATTTTTTTTATGTATACAAATATTTGCTTTGGCGTTTCTGCAATGCATTGAAATAACTGTGAGCAGGCAAGTAGAGTGTTTAAAGTATGTTAGATAAATGTTAGATATTCGTATAAACAGAAAGTAAATAACAAAGATTGGTCGATAATCATCACTACGGAGACTATGTGTATATATAGGTAGGTAGGTAAGATATGGCTTCTTTGCCTATTGACACACAGCTGGCAGCTGTTTAAACTGAGGCGGACCTGGTTCATGTTGTACCTTTTTCCCCATTTTTATATTCATAGATAAATGAATTATGGCACTGTCTATGACTGATTTCCAAACATAATTTCAAATTTCCTACAGGGCAACTCGCGAATTGCAATTAACGAGCTTTAGTAACATTGGCAATTAGCGTTATTAGCCAGCACTGCAGTCGACTGTAGATCTTTATATTATATATATATATATATATATCCATATGTGTGTTTTTTTATGCATAGATGATTCATTGCAATATGTGAGTAAAAGCTGCAATTAGTTTTTTTTTTTTTTTTTGGAGAGATATGAAAACAAACAACTGTTTAGGCAATGCCAGTTAGGTAATACCCTTACCTTCCAGCGAAAACACATATACAAATATATATGTATGTTTCTATAAACTTGTATGAATTTAATTTTAATTTGTTAGTCTGTAAATGGATATACGTAAATAAATACCCAAGTTCGAGTAGGTGTGGTTGAAAATATGCTAATTCTGAACCAATGAAATTAGTTGCCAGCTAATGTGCATGAAAGGAGAGAGTGCTTATAACAATAGATACTTTCCTGTATGAGAGCCGCAGCTAGCTAGCTCTACATAGTTCTCACCCACTCAACATAATTTTTACATTTTCCCTATTTGCATACTCATTATTTAGAGAGTATTTGAAATCTGTGAACTGAACTGAACAGAACTGTCAAGGTGTTGTACTTAAGGCAAACTTAACGAGCTTAAGCAACAAATGTTGGGGCCACAAAAACTTACGGCCAAAAGCCAGGCATCAGCCGCAGGTTAGAGTCCCACTGAAAACCGGTAACAAGCCACAGCAAAAAGTAAGAACATGAAAATACCAACAAACAAAGACGAAAAGAAACAGAAAAATGAAAAACAACAATAACAAGAAGAAGAACAACAACAACAACTGTTCGGCCCGCCTGGTGCAATCGCTTGACTGAAACCAGTTTCCAGTTGCTTTTTCTCACTTGCCTTTCGATTATGCCAAACTGCATTCTTGGAGATCGCTGGCATCTCCATCTGCGGCTTGGAACGTGCTCCGCAAGTTCAACAAACACCAAAGGCATACCCGAAGCCAACACGAGGGAGCCACGAAGCCAACTACGTATTGCTCTTAGATCTCATCTGCGCCATGAAACTTGTACTTGCTTAGGGCTTTGCTGCTTGCTCAGCCAGCAGATGAGCTTAAGCTCTGTTTAGTAAAGTTTTCTTATGAAACATGATGGTGAGATGAAACATCAGCTTAAAAAAAATGTTTCTTTGCCTCTCTCATTGTCCTCTTCAAGGCTATATTTCTGATTAACCCCAGAGAGCTAATGACAAAGATTATGATGATGCAGTTGATGAGACTTATGGGATGGCGATATATAGAGCTCAGATGATGATTTGCGATCGGATCTCTTTCCTCATATAGAGTATCTCCTAGTCGTTCCTTTAGCTCTCACGAATTCTAGCCATAGGGCAATTAAGCTTGGTCAACTCATTAGCTTGGCTGATATGCTGATGTCTCGCGGAATGAGAGTGCACTAAAACTATCAGGTCTGACTGGCTGACTGGCTAGATACCTCCCCCAGGAATGCGTCTGTCTTTATAGCCGGTTAGAGTCTGCCTCTTAAAGTTTTAAGTTCTTATGGCAGGAAATTAAACTTGGCTAATTGCGAATGTAAACGTTTTGTCATTACGTTGATTCTTTAATGTCGCTGCGATTAGTTGGCACAGCTTAATAGACGCTCTTCTATACTTCTTATAGTCTATGCATTACAAATGCATTTCCAGTTTGTTCACCTTAAAGTTTCCTGTGGCAACAGAGGATCTCATTTAATGATGTTAGCATTGATGGTCCATAATATTTAGAAAACGATCAAGTTAATCGTTAACTGGGCATAAATATGTTTAGACTTTATGGTAATACTCAGCTGGGCATCATATCTTAACAATATTTGTATATCCCTTAAGAGTTCGATTTTATTGAATCGTAATTCCGTATATAACATTTGTATTTATGTAATCTCATACTTATTTACGCGTATATAAATTTATAACTTATTTTTAATGTTACTGTGGCACTCTAAATTGGGACTATTCGATGCTCTGAGTCAGATTTTACGAGTTGAAGCAAACTTCTGTTCGCTTCGGCTGAATTTTTTCAGTATTCGCTGTGCTCATGGCTTGATTCATTTGCAGCTCTGGTTCGAACTTGTTATGCAAATCAAAGAATTGATGTTTGGAATTTAATTTCATTGAAACAATTAAACTACACCTATCGATTAATGGTATATGGGATTAATGGTATAACGGTTATGGCTGTTATGCGGATAGTGTCGTGTGTGGAATTGAAATTAATCAATGAGACATTTTTTTTTTTCGGTGGGTTGTCTGGTATGTCTATTAGCTGTCTTTTCCTGTTAACTGGGGGCACACATGAGGGGTTTCTTTAGCTTTACGTAAATAGACTTTTTGTTTTGTTTACGCGTCGCGCCGCTTTATCGATTACTGTCACTGTCGCGCCCCACTGTCACCTGTGCGAGGCGGCAGGTGCCTGAGTTATCGCTCTTTCGAACTTCTCATTTAGTGGCGCTCTGCGCTGTAACTCGAATCGAGAATTGCGAGCGACAAAAGTTTTTGTCACACTCTCGCGCACAATTAAATTGATTTCGTTCTGAAAAGCGCCAACTGTTTTATATTTGTTTTACGTTTTTGTTAATAATGACAATCAGAGCGAACAGAGAATGCGCCTGACAGAAGCTGTCATGCTCCGTTGCCCATGAATCCGTTAGCTAAAACTCTATTTAAATTTGTTAGATAATTTGCCAAAAGCACATACTGTTCGTATCTAGTGCTAATCGCAGTTGAAATCAACATCTCTGGAACGTTGCACGTGGATTATATTTATTTGACTCACTGTCAAAAGCAGCTCCACCTTATCTAAGCAGCGCGAGACAATATTTAAAACCTAAAAAGTTCTGTTTGATGTGCCAGATAAGGCAGATTCGCTCCTCTCTCATTCTGGACAGTTCGCTGTTTGCCAATGTCATGCGAAATCCCTATTCAAGTAGTACGTGGATTTTTGTTAAACACTGTTCACATATAATATATTATATACTATACATATATATTATATGTAAAAATCTTGAAGCCTCAGTAAATCACAGTTGAATTATCCTCAATTTTTCTTGTATCTATAGATCTTCTGTAAAATGTATATTTTATATATTTATCTACAAACAAGAATACGAGCAATACAAGTCATAAATAAAAAATCCAACTTCCTCAAAAGTCTATTATTTCTTATCTCATAATTTCATTATTGATATTGAATTTTATAAAAGTTCTGAGGCTCTCTGTGAAATTCTTTTGCATACAATTATTCATGATTCAAGTGAATTTCTCCCTCCCCAAGTCGAAGAGATTTTTGTGCAGAGGTCTGAAACTCCAAACGGCCTGGAATGTCTTTTTGCATATGAGCTATGAATACTTAATCATGTAATGAATGTGTCGGGCTCTGATGTTAAATTGTTGTATTGATGGCTTGTTCGGGCTAAATCAACTGCATACGATTATGATTCTTACGCGAGTCTCACGTGCTGTTGTTGTTTATATGCAGATTGGCAGTTCAAACGAGTTGTGCGGAAACGGGTTTATCACTCAGTGAGTGTGTATTTCTCACTCTATAGAGGCAAGTGTGTGTGTGTATGCTGAGTCATTCCGTGATTTCTGTTAGGAATGCGAAATACAGGTATTCCACGCATTACTCAAGTAGGGCTTTACTTTAAGTCTATCGTAAAATATAACCTATGCAAATGCAAACTTACAAATGCAAAGATATCAATATAGTTGTAGATATTTAGATAGTGAAGCAAAGTGAAGCATGTACAAATTTAGATACATGACCAAAGGCACTCAGATACAAACACAGATTGTAAATACAGAAAATAGATTAAGGTTCACTGACATAGAAGCACTGCCAAAGATATATAGATATAGATACTCAGATAAAGCTGCAGATGCACTGATTAATATGCAGAGTTTGTTATATAGAGATACTGAGATTGAAATTCATACATAAGGAAACAGATACATATACAGATACAAATAAAGTCACTGATACAGATGTACATACATATAAATATATAGTCAGATACGTAGATTCTCAGATACACATACAGATACAGATATTCAGATACAGATACTCGGAGACAGATACTCAGATACAGATACTCAGATACAGATACTCAGATAAAGATAATGAGATACCGATACTCAGATACATATACAAATTTACACATATAATACCTATACACTCGCATGAATGCAAATACATACATACATACATGCACATAGTCACAGATTAAGATACATATACACAGATACGGGTATATGCAGCTGTTGTGCATATCCTTAGAATTGGAAGCAGCAACAGCTAGCAGCAAACCGTAGCGAATTGAAGTGTGTTCTTGCTCTACCTGCAGAGGCAGACAAATCAAATAACAAGATCCTGCAAAGGACATGTGCCTATTAGAGCTGGTTAGAGCTGGCTCCCAGTTCCAAGGACCCTTCCACGTGCAGCGAACACATGTCGGCGCCATTAACAACGAAGCGTGCCTCCGAGTCTATACGTATAGCCCTGGCAGATGGCACCGATTGCAATGGCTGTCGAATGTTTTGTTTTGTTTTCAGTTCTCTTTTTTTTTGGCAGATGCCTCGAGATTGTAGAGAGAAAAAGAGAGCGAGAGAGAGAGAGAGAGAGAGAGAGAGAGGGAAAGTGTGTGTGTGTGTGTAGCACGTAGACATACTCGAGACATATTTGAAATTTATGCTTGTATATGTATTACATGCAGTCCTTTTCTTTAACGACTTTTGTGACTTCCGCTTCTGGTTTCCTGCTCTTGCTTTCAAGAGGTTTCTTACGAGAGTTCGTAAGGCAGGCAACTTGATTAATAAAACAAATATTTCAACGGATTTTATTGTAAATAAGGAATATGAAAAGCAGGAATTTATCTTAATAGTTTAGATATCAACTATGATTGGGAAGAAGTTCTTCGGTCCAAGGGATTTAATCAATGTGAAAGGTAGTAGGACATCTATGCCTATGGCCTTTACAATTGCATCAGCTGCCAATGCAAGGGCCTATCCGATTTGTGTACAGATTCAAATGCGAGAATGCAAAATCTATTTTCTCATAGGTAGTTCCCATGGTGTCCAGGTAAATGCCACGGCCCGATCAACGCCCAATTGACAGCTAATAATTACGCACTTCAACAGTCGAGCACATGGCAATGCAGCTGGTCATTAGGGCTGGCTGCATTTGGTCTGGGTGCATAGCTATGCATATACCTCCTGCCCCCTGCACCCTGCACCCTGCACCCCGCTCCCCGGGCTTACCCCTAGGCGCCTAGTCGTGCCAGTCGGGCAGTTAAGGGTGTGTTTTAGCACCATCGTGTGAATTTGTCTCGTCTGTGCATGCTGGGCGTCGCATTGGTGGCATCGCAGCATCAGGCAACTCTTTGTCATCTTGCGAGGAGTCGCACAAATCTTAGGGTATTGTTTTGCAACTAATTCAGTGCGAATCTTGAGCAACCCTTTGCGAGTCGAATATGCTTTTAAAATAGAGCATTAGTGTGGGAATTTTGTGTTTTAAGTTGCTCTGAGATTTGCTCTATGATCTTGGTGTGCTTCCTCATATTGAGTTTGCCCAACTCTAACTCGAAAAGAATCTTTTTTAGCATTCGAAACTTAAAGAAGATCTTGCGCTGCTTGTTTTTTCTGTTCGTACAGGAAAGCCCTAATTGCCTTGAAACACACTTTTAATTACTTCGCTAAGCATCCGCTAAGCCATCGCGTATGAAGTATGAGTATTTATTTCATTTTTTTTGTGCCGCATTAATTTGACATTTAATTTTTTATGAAAATTCCCACGACCACCAACACAAACGGCGAGTTTACAAATTTTAAATTCCGACACTCCGATAAGCAAACCCTCCCCCCTTATGAATCGAAAACGAAGCAGAAGAAAGAACCAACAAAACTGTTGGCTGTTCTGTTCTGTTCTGTTGGAAAGGACTTCATACGCTGGTACCAAAGGACGTCGCATCGTAGCTGTGTACATATTTGGCTTCAGCTTTGGTGGTTGATAAACCCTCGATCCGCCGTCTGGCCGACTATGAGGCCAGAAGACAAAACGCAGGGCGGCATAATTATAATTGCATATTAAGTACGCGCAGAAAGCTGGCCAAAGGAAAAAAAAGAAGAGGAAGCCATAAATGTGTATCCTTTTTTCACTTTTTTCCTTGCCACCACAAAGCGTGTGAACTGCTGAATGCATCCTGGAATGCACATATGTATATATATGTTGTACGTTGTTTGTATATATTGTCTACGTTGACATTGAGTTGACTTGAACTGTGAATCGCCTTGACTGAACTACCTACTGATGTGAGAGGCATGAATAGATTCACATTTTCAATTGTTTCCGAGTTCACAGAGAATAAAGTGTAATGAAGAGAAGTCTGATTTCATTTAATGCTGATCTTCATTTCAATAATCGTTAGTCGGGTGTAAAAACTCTAGCACTGCTCATCATTTTAATAATGATTAATCCATAGTAAATTTTGACCTACCCTCCCAAAGAATTTTTATAAAACACAATCTCTGTAATTGCGTAAATAGTTTTAGTTCTCTAGCTCTAGCCTTCAGATACTTTCAATATATACAGCTTCAAACTTGTATCTCTGCTTTTCAAAAGTCTCATTGCGCTCTAGGCGCTACTATATTTTCTTAGTTGTTAGCATCAATCAATAATGCATTAAGTTTAACAACAACTCATCCGCTATTCTCTGAAGTCTAAACCTATAGAGATTATATATTTGCAGTATTTACTCTGTAATTATTGCCAGACCCACCCATCTAAATCTAGCTATGTCAGAATAAGGTTTCACGCTCTGCACTGTTATCCTGTAAGCTAATCCCTTTGCAGCGACTTAGGTTGAGAGAGGCGGAACAGTGCTATGAGTAAACGGATTTAGTCAGCTAGCACGAATCCGGGATTATCGGTAGGCCTTTCAAATCAGCCAACTTAGCCCTGTCGCATCTCTGGCAATGTGAAATTCCTGATCATTCAACCGACCAAAGCTAGATAGACGCAGCTGTGGCCAGAGTCTACCGCGTGTGCAACAACTTTTGGTTGGTCAATTAATAACAGACCTCTGTACAGACATAGAAAGCCTCACTAGGCAGCTCTAGTGGGCGCCAATGTTAATTAGTGTATTACTAGGCAATATAGTAAGTGTATATTGCTTGATGTGTACATGGGGATAGGCGTCTGGTTTAGCAGTGTCAATGACTGCGCTGCAAATTGGTCGTGGGGGTTAATTGCTTAATGGCGTCCAAAGGCAGAAATTTGCCAGTGGCTGTGGCACGCTAATTTACGGTATTTCATTATTTCATTATGTCATGAGAGTGTCATGTGTTGCAGATCAGCGAGACATACGATTTATAGATGAATAGATATCATTGCTAGCATGTGCTCAAGCTGATATCAGATGATTTCCATTTGGCATGTGGACTTTATTAGTTTACAATCATCGGAGGCAAAGGCTAGGCATCTACATACTATATTTGACTTAAGTTCTCTTAAATTCCTTCTGATTGATTGGACTCGAGGCAGCTTTTTTGCATCACTAAATCCAGAAATTTGAACCCATTGTTATCTGGTCAAAAGCTGTTTGGAAATTACACTGACGTAAATGGTATACGATTTTATGGCCTTTGTTAATTAGCCTGCAGGGTAAATATACAAATTTTATATATGAAGCAAACATTGATTTTACCTTTACGTGGATATACATATATTTACGTGTGTATAGATCTATCTGTTTATAGTCTGTGCATGTGTCTCAACTACTTTCCGATGTGTTTGATTTTCCTCATGGTCGAGTGGAACCTGTTTGCGGATGGCTTAGTGGTTGAATGAACCCCCCATTCCGATGATGTTCAGTTAGTGGTCCATTGTTGTTGTCACTGCTGAAATCATGTTCAGTTTTGGAGCGTGACTTAATAGGCTTTGTTGCTGTTGTTTTTGTTGTTGTATTCTTAAATCTGCAGTTTCATTAGTATTTTGTTTATAAGCGAAACGTGTCGTTCACGCAGTTCTCGAGCCAAATGAATCATAATGAAAACAAACAGCAAAATATGCTGAATTACATTATAAATCAGATAGCTGCGATACAGTTTTGTATACAGCAGAGAGCTGAGACATATTTCGATCGAGTGCTTAGAAAGGATTTTATAGGATATTTGAATATTCCAGTATGCTTTATTTTTGATAAAAAAACTGAAAGTGACCCATAAAGCTGATCATATCTTTGGTAATGCTAATATAGACTCTACAGAAGAGCAATCACTTTTTATTACTTAGGTGTTCAGACTCTGAAAAGCGAAGCATTTGGGCTGAGTGACCCACATTATGAGCAGGCCGCAGCTGTTTGGGGCCAGCACAAATCTAAGTCTAAATCTCACGGCTTAGGCGCACAATTTGATTAGCTTGGCTATAGCTGACCCTTTCGGAAAGCTGCAGCCACGCCCAGACTCGAATACGAGGTGCCTCCAGGCCAGAAATGCAGTCAAACCAGCAGCCAGCCACAATGGCCACAAGTCAACGCCCCAGCCAGCCGCCTCGGTTGCCCTTGCAGAGGCGGCGACATCCCCCAGCTGAGCAGAGCTGGGCAGCATAGATCCATATAAACCTGTTTGCTTAGATTTACAGTTACCTAGCTGCGCCAAAGCAGAATAGGCAGAAGAAGAAGAAGAAAGCTACTGCCCACTCTTACTGAAGCAGCTCCATAAAATCTGGTATTAGTCATTGTTTCTCTTATGTGTCTGATAAGAAATTACAAGTTAATGGGAAAAATGTGTTTGGGATCATATAACAGCCAAAGAGCTCATCTCCAGTGAGATATTTAAATTATATAATTTATAGAATTGATTTATGCTAATGCAGTCTATTCTCTAGCGAAGGTTTCTTTCATCTAAATTTTATGACAGAATAGATTTATTCTGAAGCTGATCATATAACAGCTGAAGGTTTCTCCCATCTGTGGGCCCATCTCAAGTGTTTTATTTAAATTATATAATTTATATTTATTCATCTCAAGCATTTTGCTGCATCCGATATAAGCTAATGCAGTTTGTTTTCTCATGTTGATATTGTCAGCGCTTCGGGTGGCTCGTGTTCTCCATTTTCCCAGGCAGGGGTAGGGGGTGCGAGTTAATTATAAATTAAAGCACACATAGCGCATATAGTCCGGTTAAGTTTACCGCAATATGAGACATGTGATAAAGTCACAAAAACGTCAGCGTATGTCGCCGCAGCGCAATGAAAACAAAAGCCCCACCAAGTATAAATAAATAAGAACAAAACAGAAGAAAAAAGAGAAAATAAATAGAAAATAAAATAAATTAAAAATATAAAGCGTAACAACAACAGAAAATAATAATATTATTAAATATGTGTAAACAATTACGTGAGACAGGCAGCCGTGCGCACGATAAGACTCGTTTGGGTTTGCAGTTGTTAGTTTGGAGACTGGCGAGTGCTATCCCATAGGTTAGCTGGCCTTGAGTGGGTCTTTGGCTAGGCAGTAGCACCAGAGATTCGGGCTGGCATGTGGCCAAGCCATAGAGAGCAATTATGAATCCATTCGCATCGATGTGTACGATCAGTTGAATTTTAGGGGCGTTGCCAGTGACACCCTTCGATAAGCTTTAATGAATGTGTGTGACTCACGGAATCGAATCAATGCATAGCAGAGACGTCAAACTGCCGTTAGATAGTGGCCGCTAAACAATCGTCAACATTCGTTATAAATATTTTTGCAGATCGAGCAACAACAACAACAACACATACCAACAGAAACAGAAACAGAATCAACAGCAACGGCAACTCATCAATTAATTTAATCAAAGCCCATAACTCAAATTTAACGAACAAATAAAATTGCGAACGCAACAGCCCAATAAATAGATCAATAAAACAAAATACAATCAAATAATATAAAACATACACAATATATAAAAACTATCAACACAAGACTGCCATCAAAAGAGAGAGAGAGAGAGAGAGCGAGTCAAAGAGAGTGAGAGAATTGCAAGCAGCTGTCGTGTGACATCTGGCAACGCTGTCTGTTTCAAACTGTAACGGTTATTAGCAGCATTTTACTCACGCAAAAGCCAAACCGGATAAAGCGAGAGCGAGCGAGCGAGAGTGAGGAAGAGCAGCTGCCAGACGTACCAGAGTGAAAGGGAGAGCACGAGCAGACTACAGCCATGGGAAACTCGTCGTCACACACGCACGAACCACTGGAGCGAGGCTTCACACGCGGAAAATTCGGCGATGTTAAGAATGGGGTAGGTAACACTAACAGCAACAACAACAACAACAACAACAACAACAGGGGTTGATCGGCACTTGTTTCTCTTTAATACTGTCTGGCATAATGCTCCACAATTCGTATATATAAATATGAATCCATTATGAATCCATTAACTTAAACGATTTCTTTATCCAATATCCATATAGAAATCCGCCTCGTTTCGGTTTAGCAAGAAATCGCCCAAAAAGATGGATCGACTGCGGCGCTCGTTCCGCGACTCGTTCAGACGCCGCAAGGATCGTGTGCCCGAGTCGTCGAAGCCGCATCAGTGGCAGGCCGACGAGGAGGCCGTGCGCTCAGCCACCTGCTCGTTCTCGGTGAAGTACTTGGGCTGCGTGGAGGTGTTCGAGTCGCGCGGCATGCAGGTCTGCGAGGAGGCACTCAAAGTGTTGAGGGTGAGTCGCAATGGACAATGTTTAACTGTGAAATCCAACACTAGAGCTACTCGAAGTGCAGTGACAAATGTGCAAGCAGGATCAGGAATAGGGATACTCTAGATGAAGATGGGCTTCGTGGTTAAACTTGACTTTTTTTAATGAGTACAAAGTATCATATTCATTCATTTCACTTTTGGATTGATAATTAGCTATATAAAGAAAGTCTGAAAATAATCATAAAATGAATTTAGGAATCTTTGACTTATCTCATCGAATCTTTAGGTTATATTAATTTAAATATAAAAATATTAGATGAATTTTATATTTACGTTAGCCTTAAATATTCTCTAGACCTCAAGTGTCCATATAATTATATTGTTAGCTTGCAGATAAATAATATAAGAACATTGACTGATCATTAAGAATTTTTTGTACTTCATATTAATTTAAAAATAGAAAAGCTTCCATTGCTTCCCATTCTATTTTTGTAGTTGTTTCTTTTAACATGAATTTAACATTAGAATCTATGTTAACTTATCTAACAGAGTTCATTTTCTGTTTGATATTAATTTAAGTATACAAATTTCAGTTGTTCTCAACCTGTTAGAAATTGTAATCAGAGCTTGGGATGATCAGATATCAATAGTTGCTCAAATGTCCGCCGAGTGCCTGCCAATTGGGTTTCATTTCATTGATAATTTCACAGATGACTAATCGAATTTATCCGTTGCTCTACAGCAATCGAGACGGCGGCCGGTGCGCGGCTTGCTTCATGTGAGTGGAGATGGTCTGCGCGTGGTGGACGACGAGACGAAGGGCCTCATTGTGGACCAGACCATCGAGAAGGTGAGCTTCTGTGCGCCGGATCGGAACCATGAGCGTGGCTTCAGCTACATCTGCCGGGATGGGACCACTCGGCGCTGGATGTGCCACGGCTTTCTCGCATGCAAGGACTCCGGCGAGAGGTTGTCCCATGCTGTAGGCTGTGCCTTCGCTGTTTGCCTGGAGCGCAAGCAGCGGCGCGACAAGGAGTGCGGCGTGACAATGACCTTTGACACTAAGAACTCGACCTTCACGCGCACCGGCTCCTTCCGGCAGCAGACGCTGACCGAGCGCCTGGCCATGGCCACGGTGGGCAGCAACGAGCGCAGCGCGGATGGCCCAGCGCTGCCCGGCCCGCCGGCCGCCACGGTGAAGCCGTTCAATCCGTTCGCCATCGAGCGACCACATGCCACACCGAACATGCTGGAGCGGCAGAGCTCCTTCCGGCTGAGCACCATCGGCAGCCAGTCGCCCTTCAAGCGCCAGATGTCGCTGCGTCTCAATGATCTTCCGTCCAATGCGGATAGGCAGAAGGCCTTCCTGGCCGCTGCCTCCGGCCATCCAAATCCACACTCGCTGCACACGCCGCTGCGCAGTGTCTCGCCCATCGCGGAGGTGTCGCCGGCCAAGACAGCTGGCGGCGATCCGGCCATCGTGGCGGCCGACACGGTCAGCCAGCTGTGCCAGGAGCTCAGCCAGGGGCTGTCGCTGCTCACCCAGACGGACACACTGCTGGCAGCCGGGGATGATCTGAACTTCAACAACAACCGCAGCATCAATCAGAACATCATTGCCGCCGAGAAGCAGCAGCAGGTAATCTCGTACAGCACCAGTGGCAGCGGCAGCACCAGCGCCAGTGGCACGCCCACAGCTCAAGTGCCGCCTCGCGTGGCCGGCATGGCGGTGCAGCCGGCGGTGCAGTCGGCGGTCGCCGATGCGGTCGAGCTGCCCAATGCCGATCAGTGGTTGGGCCAGGTGGTGCGCGCCACGTCGCCCGCTGTGCCACCCAAAAGGCCGAGCTACTTGGCGAACGTGGGACGGGCTCAGACCATGTCGGCGAGTACCTCAGTCGGTGGCGGTGGATTAACCGATGCCGATCCCTTCGACGCTGAGTGGGCGGCCAATGTGGCAGCGGCCAAGAAGATGTCGCCGGATCTGCCGGGACAAGCAACGGGATCTGGCATCACCAACAGCAGCAGCAGCAGCAGCAGCACCGCCACCACCAACAGGCATAGTACGAATCCGTTTATCTCACCGCCAAAGGCGCCAGCGCAATCGTTTCAGGTTCAGCTGTAGGATGGTGCTTCCCAGAGACAGAGAAGGAGAGAGAAGGGTTGGGCGATGGGGCGATCCAAAGTGTGGTTCACTTGAAAAACGTAACTTAGTGTAATGGGGCAGAGGTCAGCACGACGGGAAGTTAGATAGAATTAAAGATAATGATCAAGATACCGCTATTCGATTCCAGGTACTTAACGCAAACAAAACAATTGTTGAATTATATACATATATATTAAATACACTATGAAAGTACAGAGACGGGAATAGACCGTTAAATATACGCTACGCATAAAGTAAAGTTAACTACGCATTTTAAGCAAAGCAAGGCACCTACACAGATACAGAGACACCTGCGAACAGGTGTGACAGGTCTGTGATGCTTAGCAATAATCAATGGAATGGCACTCGTACTGCTTACACCTCCTACATTCCCACATCAGCATTCACGCATATATATATATAAGCACGGATATCCAGACATGCTGCACGCCGATTTAGACCAAGCTCCAAGACCACCTTCAACAAGAACAACAGCAACAACGAGTGCACCTCTACTTTATAGTACTTCTAGTACATAGTTTCACATGCCTGCACATTCATTTACAAAAATAGAAAAAAAAAAAAATATATATATATATCGAGTTATATATGTGGTTAATGTTGATAAAGTATTTTATTTGGATGTAGCCTTCCACAACTTGTTGATGAACAGTCCCATTCTAGATACCTTCATATACATATGCTGACTACCATACATATCGTACATACATAATGAGGATAATACGTCAAATATACATAAAATATATCTAAAGTAATGCTTGTGTATATGTGTATATCGAGAGTTCTATATATTGAACATATATATTTATGCCGAGGGCCAATGTTTTCTCTGTCACTTTTGATTTATGCGTCTATATAAATATGTCAATTTTTTAATTTAATTTAAATTAATTTTAAATTGTACAAAATGTATTATACTTAAATTATAATAATAATTTAACAAAAATAAACTTCAAGTTAATTAAACAGAATGAACGGTGTT